TCATTGTATATAGAGCGACCCCCCCACCGCCCTCAAGGAACCCAGGGTCTACCTGGTAGCCTTGGGTAAATGTGAACAATACAAGAGGAGAATTCTCCAAGAAGAGAGCAGGACTGTCTGACCTGGAGGTAGAGGTGAGAGAGGCCACCTGGATGGGGACATCACTGTGCCCTCTGTGGCACTCCTGGATGAAGGCGCTCCATAGGCAGTCGCAGTGTCTCCTCTCTGGAGTCAAGACTCAAGATCTGCTGCCCAAGGCTGGTGCAGTTCTGCCCAGGTGCGTCACAGGGACTGTGACGTGGGCCTGCATGGCCTGGCAAGCAGCCTCGATACTCACCCCGCCCCGAGTGGGCACCCTGTACCATTCCTCACAGGAATGCCCAACACCCAGGTCCCCCTACTTCCCTAGGCACCAGGTGCGACAGGCACCCTTACCTAACCAAACCCACCAGAATCTCAATTCCTCCTCCTTTGCTGTTTAACCTGATGCTGAGCCACAGCCGAGTTGGAATGGCCCCTGGCATTTTGCCAATAGTATTGGTTGAGAGGCAAGCCATTAAGATGATGCTGGATTGATTCGGTTGTATATTAGACCTTTACTGTCTGACTCGGCCTGCTACTTTGGAGTTCTTGTGGGGATTCCAGGAGAGTTCCCATTGGTTGGGGAAGTACGGGAGGGGGAATTTCCGGAAGAGGGATTTCCGGTTGTTGGTTCCTGGAGGAGCCCCCGTGGCGTTCGGGAGAGTTCCCGGGGAGCGTGTGTGGAGTGTGCTGGTGGAGTTCAGAAATAAAGTTTGTTCCTGCTTCAGTGGCTCACGATTTGTGCCCAGCCAGACTGCGGCATTCTGACTTTTGTATTTGAGTGTTTTTTGAGATAACACACTTATATTTTTCAAAATGTAAAAGCACCAAAAAAAATGCTTAACAAAAAATCCCCTCGCACCCTCCCCCACAGCTCCTTAGCTCCCCTTCCAGGAGACAACCAGTTGAAATTCCTTTTTAAAACAGTTTAAAACTTAGTTTAGGGTCCTCCCTTACAACATGTAAGCATTCAGAGCAAAGAATAACATAAAAATCACTAAACCACATTACCACCTGGAGGACACACAGAAGCACAAACTGAAAAGCTCACCTGACTCAAAAATGCAACCCAGTGTGTGAGAGACCCTGGGTTCCATCCCCAGCACCAGGAAAAAAAAGCAAAGCTGCTCCCCCACTCCACATCCAGTCAGCCAGCATTGAGTTCATGTCTGTCTACACTGTCACTTACAAAAACAAAATGTAAGAGCAAAACCACAATAAGGCTTTTTCCTTCTTACTGTGTCAGGAGCATTTCCTAATAGCTCCTTCCTTAAGTGACTTTAATAGTTGGATGGTTTATTTAACCAGACCACAGTGACTGGCATTTGGGATTTCTAGACTTTCCCTGTTTTTTTTTTGTTTTTTTGTTTGTTTGTTTTTTAATGGTGGCGCACATCTGCAATCCCAGAAGCTCAGGAGGCTGAGGCAGGAGGATCGCGAGTTCAAAGCCAGCCTCAGCAATGGCGAGGTGCTAAGCAACTCAGTGAGTCCCTGTCTCTACATAAAATACAGAATAGGGCTGGGGATGTGGCTCAGTGGACGAATGCCCCTGGATTCAGTCCTGGGTACCCACCCCCCAAAAAAACATGGAGATGGGCCCTGAGACCTCACAGTAACAGATTTATAGAAGAAATGCTGGACCACAAAAAATGGGCACTCTTTAAGACCCAGGGGACCCATCAAACTGCCCTCCAGTCTTTTGCCATTGCCACCACCAGCAGGAGGTCTCCAACCCAAACACAGACTTTCCCAGGAAAAGAGCAGAAAGCTCATGCCCCAGTCAACAGCTCTGTGTTGACACAAGTCAGCTGTGTGCACTAACCCACCTCTAAATCCAGAGGAGGCCACCTGCCTTGTTTACCCAACCACAACTGACGTGGGCCTAGCCCAGCCCAAGGTGAGTCAGTTGCCCAAGGGGTGGGCACTGCCCTTCCTAGAGCAGGAACCCAGATGGGACAAGGGCCACTGCATTCCAGGGAGTGAGACAGACTTTGAGCAGTGGCTGGAGGACACGCAGCAGCACCTGTCTGCAGGTAAGAGCGGGGCTGTGCTGACTGGGAGAGGACTGAGTGAGCCCTGCTCTCACACCATCTCCTTGCCACCTCTCTGTCCCTTCCTTTCTGGGACTTGCAGGCAGTTTTCGTCCACCCTTCCACACTCTGAAAGTGACCTATGAATCGGGGTTTCCTCTTCTGACTCTAGCAGCCGGCCAGGTTCCGGGGCTGGTGTTCTGTGCTGCCTCCGACTTCTACCCGTACTACTGGTCTGTTTCCCAACCCCAGCCCTGGGGGGCCCTCTGAATGAAAGCTGAACCTTGGCACTCACTCTGCTGCTCACCAGGAGGGCGCCAGGAGTGGAACCCACACCTGGGTCCTCACGGGAGCCCTTGGCAGCAAAGGCCCTGCTGAAGGTAGAGGCGGTGTCCACAAAGAACAGGGCCCAGGTCTCTGCTTGTTACTTCTTTTCCTGAAGCTGTTTCTACAAACCACCTGCTGCCACAGCAAGGAAAACCTGCTGGGAAACAGCCAGTGGCTCGACCACTTAGGAACCAGTGTCCTCATCTGCAGGCTGGAAGTAGCCCAGCTGGGACAACAGAATGAGAACAGAAACGAGGAGTCCGCCCATGTCCTCTATGGCAGGGTCTCAGGAAGGGGCTCGGAGTGGGCCCACCGTGGGTTGTTGGCTGTCCTGGCTACTTGACATACTGTGCTTAAGCTAGGAACACCTCTGCTGCTTCCCCTCTGCACAGCTGACTGCAGTCTTGTGGTCAGATGTCCCTGAGCACAGCAGGCACCCCCTCCCCAGGGCCTACGCAACAGCTGTGCCCTCATCCTGGAATGCTCCTCCTCACCCACCTCTTTAGGCCTTTCCTCACATGCCCCCCATCCTGCAGGCAGGCTCCTCTGGACCTCCTGATTCTCCACTCTCCATCTTGCTTCACCTTCTCCCTAGAGGTTCCCACCACCTGAGAGCCCACCGAGTCATGGGGTTTTTTAATCTAGCTCCTCACTACAAAGGAACTTCCTCAAGGACCAATTCTTCTGTTCACTGCCATACTGCTGGCAGCTAGAACAGTACTTGGACTTAGCAGGCACTCAGTAAATGTGTTGGATGAATGAACTACTATTATTGATTGCCTATTATGTGATAGTTACCAAGCTAAATGTTTTCCAAATCTCTCTTTTAAAAAAATCCCTAGACAACTCTGGGGATTAGATATGGGTAAAATGGGTTCTATTACCCATTTTATGAAAGAAAATGGGTCTTGGCCATGCTCTGCTCTCACAAGCCAGATGCAGGTAGTCTGAGCTCAGCCTCCCTCCAAGTCCTGGCTCCTGCCCTGACTCCCTTGGGCGTTCCCATTTGGGAATATCTGTGTTTCTTGAAGTCCACAGCTTTTCCCCAGCAGGTAGTACAGCCCTGAGAGGAGGGGGTGGGGGTATGGGACTGTGGCCTAGCAACAGCCTCTTCCTTTACGACTCACCAGATCCCTGGGCTAATTTGGCCTTCAGAGCTATTCCTCCACCACCTAACCCACGCTTCCCTCCTGCACACTGTCTTCTAAAGGATGAGTTGTCCACAGGAACACGTGGGAGTCCCCGAGCTTCAGCTCTTTGGAACAAAGTGTTCTCACTCTATTCAAATATGGGGGCTGAAGACCCCTTTCAGCCCTGATCTCCCAGGACCTGATTGCTAGATTGCTGTGGGTGTTATTGCTTATAAAGAAGCTCAGGGATGGGAATCTGAAAAGTACAGGGAGAGGAAAATCCTCAGGGAGACGCGAGTTAGAGGGGTTGTTTCTTTCTGGGGAACCAATTATTTGCAGGAAACCATTAAAAACTGAGTCAACTCTTCCTCAGAGATTGTAGAAGCCACCACCTTTAGGCTACCTATCAGGGCTGTTTTCTTCTCCTTCTCTAAGCTGTGGGAATGGGTAGACTGCATATCTAGGTTTTCAGACTTTCTCCTTTCTCTGCTTTTCAACTCCTTTGGAAGAAATAATTGGATGCCTGTTATATGCCAGGCACTATGCTCAGCACTGTGGATTCTTAAATGACATTCTCTGAGAAGTGAGGATAACCAAATAAATACAGCACACTGGAATTGCAACTCAGGAAATGCAAAAGGTCTTGCTCATAGTAGATGCTTAATAAACACTTATGGAATGAGCAAGGCATAGGTGATAGACTCTGTGGTCTAGAGAAAGGAGGTTTGCCCTTCTCTCCATGGAGGGCTTAGAATTAAACCATCAGATGAATGAGGAGGAAGTTGTGAATGTCATTCAAGAGAGAGGGCACAGCACATATAATGGCACTGAGGCACAGCTCTCAGGTTGTTTTAGAGCCAGCAAATAATCTGGGATGAATTAAAATGCACGGTGAATGAGTGCAGAGGTGATATGGGACATTATCAGGGTTAGGGTTAGGGAAATTTTATGCCAGGCTCAAGTTTGAGATTCATCCTGATAAAGAGGTGGGTATGGTTTCAAAAGGAGGGAAAAGCAGGATCAGAGGAAAACTGATTTTTGGTTCAGCCCATGGATGGACTTGGTGGGGCTGCACTGGAGGGACAGCACAACTGGGGGAAACTTCAGTAGGAGAATCAAGAGATAGTAACTATCCAGAGGGCAGCTGGACTCTCAGGCCTGGGCTTTGCTATCCCCCGTACTGCACTGCACACTACACTCATTGCCTAGAACTTTCTAGGGTCTTCTGCCTTCAGGTGGCTTTCCTAGCCTTTTTTTTTTTTTTTTTTTTAACCCTACAGTCCCAACTGCCAGAGTCCCTTGTCAAAGGGCAGTGGGTCTGATTTCACCGGAAGCCCAAGTCTCCTTCCATCCCTGGTGGTGCCTGGGGAGCATCCGCGTGAGGTGGGGGCACACGGTCAAGAGGCGCAGCGTGACGTCACGCCGGGCGGAACCGCTCTGGTCTTCAAGGGCCTTGGAAGCCAAGGGGAGCGCGGAGACTTCCTGTTCACACCAGCAACAAGCCGCGGGGAGCAGGATCTCCCAAGGCTGGCAGCGGTGGCTCGGCCTCACCCCTCTCCCCCGGAGCCCACGCGTGTCGCTCGGAGCCCAGGGCGTGGGAGCGCAGGGGCCTCGCCCACTTTAAGGTTCTTCCGACAGGCGCGGCCTCCAGTCCGTAGAGGGGAGCAGAACGCGACCGAGCCTTCGCCTCGCTTGCTCTGCCGCTTTGCGGATGCCGCTAATCACGGGCGCCTGTACTGTGACTCTAGTAACCCACCCAGCCGGCATCCTACGCGGCGAGGAGGCCGCCATTTTTCGCTCCACAGCCGTGGGGCATTCTGGGAGCTGCGCTCGGCCACTCGGGCTTAGGTGGGCGCGACACATGCGCCCTAGACACTGCCGAATGGGGGGGCTCTGCGCAGGCGCCGTAGGCAATGCAGGCGGGAGAGGCGGGTCGGGAGCCGCTAGCAGAGCGGGTCAGCAGGGAGGTGTGAGGGATGGGCTAGCTGGGGCCGGCGTGGAGGGTGCGGCCAGGTCTCTGCGGTGCCTCGGTCCATGGAGTTTGTGCTGGTTGCTCCCATTACCCAGAGCGAGAAATTGAGGCGAGGGAAGGGGCAAGTTCATCCTGAGGCTTCATGCTAGGCGATGGTTCCCTCTTGGTGAAAGAGAAAAAAATCAATAAGGAGGCTTTGTCTATATGGGAGGAGTAAGGGAAGTGGCAGTGATCTATAACAAACGATTGTAAAGTCAGACGGATTAGGTTGATCACGCTGGTACCCAACTTACAAGTTCAGATTTAATAGGAGGCAATATTCAACTGAACTTTGCAACAGTTTATATTTGACATCTGGAGTCAAAGGCTCAGTATATAGGAGCTTGGAGTCACGGTGACAGCTACAACTTCAGGAAGGCTTGGGCAGGCTATTGTGCTGACACCTGTGGTGAGCAGGGTTCACAGCGATTTTCCAAAATGGTGAAGAAAACAAAGTATAACTTCCCTCAGTTAACCTAGTATATGCATTTTGGGATAATACAGTGCGTGCTAAAACCAGGGATATTGTCTTTATATTTGTATAGGGACCAGATTATAAACAGATTTTGTTTTGTTTTGTTTTGTTACATGACGGTTTGGTTCATCCTAGGAAGGTGGGCGTCCTCAGGATAACAGAGCTGAGCTTTACAAGGAGGAAAGTGGAAACCCAGGCACAAAGCATCGCCCTTGGCAATATTGTTATTTTTCACAAGTTATTTTTTTAATTTGTTCTTTTTGATATATACATGACAGTAGGGTGAATTTTGACATATTATACACATATGGAGTATAACTTCCCATTCTTGTGTTTGTACACAAGTTGAGTTTCACTGGTGGTGTGTTCACATATGAAGATAGAAAAGTCATGTCAGATGCATTCCACTGTCTTTCCTATTCCCACCCCTCCCTTCCTTTTTCATTCCCCTTTGTCTAATGAACTTCTGTTCTTCCCTCCCCACCCCTTATTGTATGTTAGTATCAGAGAAAACATTCAGCTTTGCCTTTTTGGGATTGACGTATTTCACTTAGCATGATAGTTTCCAGTTCCATTCATTTACTAGGAAATGCCATAATTTCATTCTTCTTTATGGCATTAATTTCATTCTTCTGAGTATTGCTGTGTATACATACCACATTTTCTCTATCCATTTATCTCTTGAAGAGTTTTCACAATTAAAACACTCAGGGGGTCACTCCAGGGAAACTGGGCTAACTGGGCTGTGTAAAATGACCACATAAGAGACACAAATACCTTTTTCTTTGGGGTCGCTGTGACGGCTTCTCTGACCTTAAAGGTCCTTAAGGAAGAGAGAGAGCAGGCAATGACCCCTTTTATTGAGGAGAAGCTATTCAAAGGAGGCAAGGGGTCAGGTTTCATGGGGCTGAGTCTATCTTCACGATGTCCACTATCAGCAGATTGACTAACAATTAGGTAGGCCATACCCAAGGTCACAGTAAGAGAAGGGGACACACACACAAGGCACTTCATGGAACATTATCCTAAACAGGGCAAGGGGTTACATTACAAAGGAGCAGGTGATCGTAGCTCCACCCATGGGGCTGTAGGAAGACACAGCCTGGCCAAATCCCGGAACAGCAGGGCAGTCTAGCAGCATGGGTGCCTGAGGCCACATCCTCCAGCAGGGGAGTTAACTCAGTCACGTGGGAGGTTGGTGTCCCACAGAGGGACCTAGTTTGGTTCCATAGCTTAGCTATTGTGAATTGAGCTGCTATAAACATTGATGTGGCAAAATCACTGTAGTAGGCTGATTTTAAGTCCTTTGGGTGTATACCAAAGAGTGGGATAGCTGGGTCAAATGGTGGTTCCCTTCTAAGTTTTCTAAGGAAACTCCATACTGCTTTCCAGAGTGGCTGCACCAATTTTCAGTCCTACCAGCAATGTATGAGTGTGCCTTTTCTCTAAATCCTCACCAACATTTATTGTTACTTGTATTCTGGATAATGGCCATTCTGACTGCAGTGAAATGGAATCTCAGTAGTTTTAATTTGCATTTCTCTAATTGCTAGAGATGTTGAACATTTTTTTCATATATTTGTTGACTGGTTATATTTCTTCTGTGACGTGCCTGTTCATTTGACCATTTATTGATTGGTTATTTCGGGGGGGGGTTAAGTTTTTTGAATTTTTTATATATTCTGGAGATTAATGCTCTATCTGGGGTGCAGGTGGCAAAGATTTTCTCCCATTCTGTAGGCTTCTCTTCACATTCTTGATTGTTTCCTTTGCTATGAAGAAGCTTTTTAATTTGATCCCATCCCATTTATTGATTCTTGATTTTACTTGTTGCACTTTAGGGGTCTTATTGAGGAAGTCTATTCCTAAATGGACGTGATGGAGATCTGGGCCTAGTTTTTCTTCTGGTAGACACAGGGTCTCTGGTCTATTGCCAAGGTCCTTGACACTTAGAGTTGAGTTTTGTGCAGGGTGAGAGATAGGGGTCTAATTTCATTTTGCTACATATGGATTTCCAGTTTTCCCAGCACCATTTGTTGGAAAGGCGATCTTTTCTCCAATTTATGTTTATGGCGCCTTGTCTAGTATGAGATGACTTGAAATACTTCTTTTTTTATTTTACTTTATTTTATTGTGGTGCTGGGGATTGAATCAGCCCCTCTTGCCACTAGCCAAGCCCTCTACCACTGAGCTATATTCCCCAGCCCCTAAAATACTACTCTTAATAGAGGAATAATGTTAATAATTACCACTTACAAAAAGAGACAGAGAGGGGTTGTAAATCTGCATATCTAATCTCACATTATGCCTTGACCAGAATCACAAGGGAAGTCTGGGACTCTTCCCAGTGTCGGCCTCTGGGGAAGAGACTTGAACTACAGGAGGGGGAGGGGTGGGGGGTAGGCTCTCTCTTCACATTGTTCCCCTTGCTGTGAAGAAGCTTTTTAGTTTGATTCCATTCCATTCATTGATTCTTGATTTTACTTCTTGCAAGTATAGGAGTCTTGTTGAGGAAGTTGGTTCCTAAGCTTTGGCGATGTTATTGCATTCGTCTCCATGCTAGGGGCTAGAAGCTCGGCCATGAGTGAAAAGGCCCAGTTGCTGCCTCTTGGGACTCCCAATTTAACGAGGCAATTGGATAGGTAAAGAGATGACCACAGGAGCAGTGAATGACCAACAGGAGGAAGGACATGGGGCAGTAGCTACCAGGAGCACAAATCAAGTGGTCTTCCTGCAAGAAGGGTCCCTTGATGTTGGACTTGAAAATTATTAGGATCTAGCCAGGCAAGATGAGGAGGCCGATGGGTCACTCCAGATAGAAGGAATGACACCCACAAAGGCCTGAAGACAAGGGACAATTTCATTCAAATATCTGAAACTAGCCTATCACAACTGGGACTGAATGAAGGAATTGGGAGGATGCGTGGCAAGAAAAGAAGCCAGAGAGTGAGGCCACTGTTGCCAACAGATGTCCCCTGGGTCTTGATGCTGTCTAGTACAGTGGCTTGGGTGTAAGGGACAATACAGAGTGGTGGGGCCTGAGGTGCCCTGGAGTCTGCTGCTTCTCCACCATAGATAGCTACTCAGATGCGGTCCAGGAGCAACAAAGCCTCCTGTTTTTGTTTTGTTTGTTTTTAGGAGCAGTGGGAAATATAGATTATAAACGCAGGGTCTTGAGTTTTGCATTTAGGCCACTAATTTGAATGTTACATACTCTGCAAGGTTCGTTACATACTCTACAATCTGTTTACAGCTAACTCATGGGGCGCCCGTTCCAATCTCCGGAGGAATCAGGACGTCCCTGTGGGCCATTTTAGGAAACAAAGGTCACATTCTGAGGGCAGTGGCATGCCACCTAGGGACACCACGCAGGGCCACAACACCTGAGCCGCTCTCTGGGAGCATCGAGAGGGGGGAGGTAAAGACTCGTTGGAGGATGTTGTGGCCCTGGGGAGGGACCGAGAGATGAAGGAGGTCTGCACAACACAACGTGTGGGGGAGGGGACTTGATACAGACTGGAAGGGTGGGGGGTGGGGGTCAGGGATGACGGGGTAGGGCAGCATGTGCACTGTGGGAAGGAACAGTGACTCATGAGGATGTTCTTAATGCCCACGGATCACTAAGGGAAGTGCCCAGAGGAGCTGGTCCCTAGGAGCAGGCCAGAGTCACATTTCCCTTGGCACAGCCCACCCAGTCCCCTGTGCCACCATCAGGCCTTCCTTTATCACATGCACCTGTCACATGTAGGCAATAGGACACACCTTGACCCTGAGAACCTGCCGTCCCCCTGGGAAAACAGACTGAGGACAGTTGAAAAGTTCAGGGAGGGAGGCTGGCCAGAGCCTGTCCCTAAGGGCAGGCCCAGGGTGAGAGGGTCAGTGACCTTTCTACCAGGAGCACCTTTCTGCAGGATTAAGGGTGATCAGGGGGTGGGGCAGGTCACGAGCTGGGGTGGAGGTGGAGGTGTGCCAGAGCCAGAGGTGAGTGGGTCAAGGGGAAGAGTCCAGAAAGACCAATAAAGATTCCCTTCCTGCATTTTATCGAGGAAGGAGACAAAGCATTTCTCAAACGGCTGTGACTCCTGTCACCACTGGCCGGACTGGCAACTATAAAACCACACAAACACAGAAATACCTTTTTGGGGGTCAGGGACAGCTCTGAGCCCTCAGGTGTCAGCTCCCGTGCAGGAAGGCAAGGTGAGCAAGGGAGGCAAGAGAGAGAGGGCACAACAGAATCCCCCCTATTTATGGAGGAAAAGCCATCAGAATATTCCACCCAAATAAGGCAATGGATTTGGTTTCGAAGGGTGGAGTCTTGCTTGGTGATGTCTTGTGATCCCCAGGTTGATTGACATTTGGAAAACCACATCCATCTCAGGTGCTGTGTGGGATCACTGAGCAGAGGGAGAGAAAAGGCACACATACGCACAGCCCAATCAGGCCGCAACGTCAGGCCAGTCCCCTCGTAGGGCTCAAATGTGCATAGCTCACACACAGGGCCCATGGATGGCTCATGACAGGTTCCTTTGAATTTCTCTGGGCATCTTGCTTAGGGGCTCTACTGAGTCTTGCTGTTAGCAAGTGTTCTCAGTTGCTCACCACCCCGGTCTACCTTTGTGGACCAAGCTCTGTCCAGTGATTGAATTTTGCCTGTTTGTATGTATGTTAGGGGTGTGTGTGTGTGTGTGTGTGTGTGTTTCTGGAGATGGAACCCAGTGCCTCACAAAGGCTAAATAAGTGCTATATACTACTGGACTACACTCCCAGGCCCCGTGTGCATATTTTTAATGAATTTTAAGGATCTTACTTCATTTTAGCTAAGATCAGAAGTTGCCAGGGTGTCTGGAAATCAGTGGTATACAGTGGAGCTCAAATATCCAGAGGTGTGTGGGAGGTGGGGGATGGAGGGACTTGGAATGCCCTGCTGCCTTTGCCATTTGTAGTTGTGAGATGATTCTGTGCATACCCCTAACCTAGGCCTGGTATATACCAGGTCCTTTATGTATGCCTGCTGGGTTATATTTAGATCTTGAGTGATCTGACCTTTGACAGATGGCAGAGGAGAATGTGGTTCATGATTCTGCCTTTCCTCCATAGCATATCCTGGCTGATCCCCTGGGCCTGGGTTCTAAGCCAAACATGGTTGGATGTGTAGAGACTATGAGCTTTGGAGTCAAACAGACTGGCTCAAAACCTAGCCTCCCATTTCTTTCTTCTTTTCTCCCCCTGCCCGCTGCTTTCTCCTGGGCATTACACTCAGGGTTGCTTTACATCCCCTGACCTTTCACCTCTCTATATTCCCAGATATTTTTAATTTTTAAATTTGAGATATGTCTCTCCAAATTGCTGAGAGTCTTGCTAAACTGCTGAGGCTGGCCTTGAACTTGCAATTTTCCTCAGCCTCCCCAGGCATGTACCACTATGCCCAGCCAGTACCCCCATTTCTAAAACAGGGATAATAACACCCCTGATGATTTTCTCATATGCGGGAGTGCTGAGTGGGGTATGGGGCAGAAGCCTGATGTCTGCGCCTCTCCTCAGGAAGGTGGGAGATGCATCCTCAGCCCCTCACTCTCTCTCTCTGCAGGGTGTCCCAGGGAGCAGCCATGTCCTCCCTGTACCCATCTCTGGAGGACCTGAAGGTGGACCAAGTCATCCAGGTAAGCCACCAGGCCCCATTAGGTTGGGTTCCTTGGCTGAGGCCTTGGGGGTGACCCCTGGGTAACTAAGGAAGGCTTTTCTGGAAGGCACTGGGTGCTGTGGACCTTGGGCACTCCTGAGAGTCCCTGTGGCCTGCAAGTCCCACTGCAGGGGCTGGGCAGGGAAGGCATCCAGAGCCAGGGCCAGCGGAACCACAGCAGGAGTGGGAAGGACCAAGGAGCCACCGACATGCCTTTCAGGCCCAGCTCTGTCCCCACACTTCCTGCTGCAGGTGAACCCTGTGGTGCCAGGGCCAGCTCCACGGGAAACCCAGAGGGTGTGGCCTTGGTGTGTCCAGCTTCTTCCTCCCTCCAGCCCACTGCCTGGGGTCCCAGAGGACTTTGAGAATTTGGGCCTTTCCCACTGAGAACTTGTTCAGGAGGTTGGCTTTGGTGTCCTGGCTGCCGCAGGCAAAAAAATTGGGTGGTGACATTTGGTGGGTCATTAGCCCCAGGAGAACCTCCTCTCAGAAAGATGTCTAGCTACAGAGGCCACTTTTTTGAAAAAAAAAAAAAAAAAACTTTTTATTTTAATTAATACACAGTAACTGTAGCTATTTATGGGGCACAGCATAACATTTCACTACCTCTACACTGTGTCAGGGTCCGATAAGGGCGGCTCGCACCTGTATCACTGCAGACATTTACCATTCGTTGTGTTGGGAACACTTACAACCCTCTCTACTCGCTATTTTTAAATATTTGATCCATTACTCTCAACCATAGTTTCCTGACTATGCTGTAGAACATTCGAATGTATTCCTCCTGTCCCGCTGCACCCCTGCACCCTCTAACAATCCTCTCTCCAACCCTCTCCCTGCCCCACACCCTCCTAGGAACTACACTTCTATTCTCTACGTCTTTGAAATTGAATGTGGGAGTGAGAACTTGCAGTATTGGGCCTTCTGGGCCCCACTAATTTACAGCGTAGAAGCCACCTGTAGGCCACAGAGCCTGGAGAGCCCCAGGGCACCCCATCCCAGGCCCACATTTGTACCCAATTCCCAGACTCCCCTGCTCAGGGAGCCCCAGGTTCTGAGGATCCCAGGGCCCTGGCCATAGCTGACGGAACTCCTTGCCCCTGCCCAGGCCCAGGCCAGAGCCTTGCCCAGGATGGCCGCCCTGCCTGCCCAGGAGACAGCTGTGTCCCCACCCTCAGGTGAGTGAGCCTGACACAAATGTTCACACCTAACACCCCAGCTGGCACTACTGGTCCCCGTGGGTCCCCATCACCAGAAAGGACATGGAGGATTCTGCTCCCAGGATGGGGCAGGTCCTGCTTGCCTGGGTCTCGGGGTAGTCTTGACTTTGAGAACCAGCCTCACGTTTCTGGCCACTTCTGAACCCAGGATTTCTTCTTGCCTTCCATTATGTTAGGGCTTTATGCACACTTTGCTCTCTCCAGAACCCTTGGAGGGGACACTGGCCGACTGGTTTAGTGAGGGCCACCAGGGGAGGAGGCCTGGGCACACCAGATGTTCATGGTGCCCCCTGAGGTGCCCCCTGCGTTTTGAGTCAGTTCTGTAATAGAAACTTGAACTCAAGCTCCGTCTTGCCCTCTGCCTTGTGCAGTTCTCTGGGGGTTGCCCTGGGCTCAGAGTCCTTCCTCCATGACTGTGGACCCCACCTGGCCCCCACAAGCTTTGTGCTGGGTGTTTGGCTGGTGCCGAAGTCGGTGGAGTCAAATTCCAGACTGGTCCCCGAGGGCCCCTGAGGCCCAGGCTGCTCCAGGACAAAGGCAGGCTCCCTTCCCCACGCAGCTCATCCTCTGAGCCAGTCCACCTCAGCAGCAAGCGTCCCAGGGCTCAGCACAGGGAATAACACTATCCCCAGGTTCTATTTTTTACTAGGAATGGATGGCCAGGCAGAAGTGGCGGAGCACATGCTCTTGGGTGACCTTTCTTCCTCCTCTCCCATCAGTTTTGTACCCAAACCTGGCGGAATTGGAGAGCTACATGGGTCTTTCCCTCTCCAGCCGAGAAGTCCAGCAGAGCCTGCCCCAGATGCCAGAGGGCGACTGTGTGAGTGTCTGTCTCCTGTCCAGCCATGGGTCAGCACGTCCCGAGCCCCCTTGCCCCGGGTCTCATCTTTTCTCTGTGTTTGAGTCTCCTTTCTCCGCTGGGTTCTTATTTATGGCTCTGTTTCTTAGCGGCACTTTTCATTTTGAGCCTTTATGGGAAGCATTCTGAGGCTTCATGTCTTCCCTGCCCCTTGACCTGTGGCTTCAGGCTGCTGGTCTGACACAGCTGGATGCAAAGAAAAGACATTAGAGCCAGTAGGAGCCTGGGACATCTAATGCTAGGGCCACCTGTGACTCAGCAGCAATGGCAGGTGCTCGCACCCCGATGTGCTCCCCAAGTCCAACAATACTTGATTCCTGCTTTTCATGGTTTCAGAGAGCAAACCAAACTGTCACATGAAATGCTCCTGAAAACGCATTCACTGATAGGACCCCTTGCAATCAGCTCTGGCATCCCTGTGACCCATCTGTCAATGTCCCCATTGTTTAGCTTCTTCCGGAGCCAATGCAATTGATTGCAGAGAACAATCTCACCTCTTGCCAAGGCTGCAGGGTTTCCTGAAGCTGATGGAAGTGACAGTATCCATATGCAAATCCACGGATGAGTGAGGATTTGACAGGAGGAAATCATTAAGGATGAGGACATGTGGGCCCTGGGGAAAACCGGTGACACCCTACGGTCCTTCTCCTAAATGACCTCCTTGATAGTCATGCTGTGAAATACAACCAGGAAGCAAAGAAGGTCATGTTGGGTAATTAGGACATAAATGCGTTCAGTCTAGGTCATAATAATATAAGAGGATAAGATGTATTTTTATAATTGAAGGCTCTTGCATTGTGTTTTACTTTTTATTTTACCTACTTATCATTTTTTGTGATGCTAGGCATTGAACCTGGGGCTCCCACATGGTAGGAAAGTGCCCCACCACTGAGCTGCATTCCAGCCCCAAACTTTTCATTTTTAAATAATAGGTTTAAGTCAGGCAAGGTGGCACAAGCCTGTAATCGCAGCAGGTTGGGAGAGTTAAGCAGGAGGACAGAAAATTTGAGGCCAATGTTTGTACTTAGTGAGGCCCTAAGCAATTTAGTGAAACTCTGCTTCAAAATAAAAAAAATAAATAAAAATAAAAAAACATAAAAGGTCTGGGGATATGGTTCAGTGGTTAAGTAAAAAATAAATAATAGGCTCACAGGCAGTTGCAAATATAGTATAGAGAAGTATATTTCACCCAGTTTCTTCACTGGTTATGTTCTGTTGATCTTTTTGTTCTTTTGCAGTACAGGGGATCAAACCCAGGCTCTCACGAGTGCTGGCCAGTGCCCTACCACTGGGCAGCACCCCCACTCACTGGTTCCGTTTTACATAACCATAGCCCTATCTCAAATCCAGGAGTTTGACTCTGGTGCAATGAATGCCTGCAGGTCTGTGTCATTTTGTCACATGTTTAAATACCTGGAACCACAGCACAGTCAAGGATGAACCACTTCAGCCCCAGGGTCTCACCCCTGCCGCTGCTTTGGAATCCTACTCATTCCCACCTCCACACCCTCCCCAACCACTAGTTTATTTTTCCATCTGTATAATTTTGTCACTTTGAAATATTACATATTATAATGTGACTTCCTGAGATTGGCTTTTTTTTTTTTTTTTTGGTACCAGAGATTGAACTCAGGGACACTCAACACTGAGTCACATCCCCAGCCCAATTTTGAATTTCATTTAGAGTCAGGGTCTCACTGAGTTGTTTACTGCCTCACTTTTGCTGAGGCTGGCTTTGAACTCGTGATCCTCCTGCCTCAGCCTCCTGAGCCTCTGGGATTAACAGGCGTGCACCACCGCACCTGGCAAGATTGCCTTTTATTTTTTTTTTTTTGCTCAATATGTCTTTGATGTCCATGCCGGTCATCATATGCATCAGTAGTACATATCATTTATCTATTTATCTATCTATGTGTTTATTTATTTACTTATTTTTGATACTAGGGATCGAATCCAGGAGTATTTTACCATCTAGCCACACCCCCAGCCCTTTTTATTTTTTTATTGTGAGACAGGGTCTTGCATAGGGCCTCACTAAATTGTTGAGGCTGGCCTTGAACTTGGGATCCTCCTGCTTCAGCCTCCTGAGTCACTGGGATTAGAGATGTACACTGTTATGCTCAGCAGTTTATTCCTTTTTATTGCTGAAATATTCTGCCATACAATGTAACAGTGTTTGTTTAACCTCTTGAAATACATTTTAGTTGTTCCAGTTTTTGATTATTACAAACAAAGCTGTTCATGTATAGGTTTTTGTATAGACATATTTTATTTTCTTCTTATTTATTTTTGAGGATTTTGCAAAGTTGCTTAGGGCCTCACTAAATTGCCCAGGCTGGCCTCAAACTTGCAATCCTCCTGCCTGAGCCTCCTGAGTTGCTGAGATTACAGGCGTGTACTGCTGCACCCAGCTTGCACTTTTCCCTCCTCACTTTTCCCTTCCTTTCTCCTCTTGCTTCTTGTTATAAATGCTCAAAGTGCACTGGGCACAGTGGCACACACCTATGATCCCAGCAATTTGGGAGGCTGAGGCAGGAGGATCACAAGTTTAAGGCCAGTCTGGGCAACTTAATGAGGCCCTAAGAAACTTAGTGAGACCTTCTTTCAAAATAAAATGTAAAAAGGGCGGGGAATGTAGGTCAGTGGTTAAGCACCCTGGGTTCAATCCCTGGTACCAAAAAAATAAAAAAAAAAAAATAAAGATTAAAAATTGCCCAGAGTTCAGTTACTAAGTTATATGGTAAATGTATAGTAATAAAAAAAGCTGTCAAAGTATTTTTCAGAGAGGACATGTCACTTTATTTTCCTTTCAGCCATGCATGAGTGCTCCAGTCTCTCCACCTCCTCTCCAGCATTTGGTGTTTTAGTCACATGGTCAGTGTAGTGACGCCTCACCTTGGTCTAATTTACATTTTCCTAATGGCTAATAATGTTGACTATTTTTTTCTTGAATTGTAATTACATCATTTTTAAGTCAAGTGTTGGGAATTCTTTATATATTCTAGAGTCCTTTGTCAAATATGTGGTTTGCAAATATTTTCTCTGAGTCTTCTCTCCTCCCTCCCCTCCCCACCCCCTCCTCTCTCTCAATCCTCCTGCCTCAGCCTCCTGAATCTCTGGAATGGACATGTACCACCCCACCTTACTCTTTTTATACTTCTTTTTAATATGTAATTTTTAGATATAGTTGGACACAATACCTTTGTTTCATTTATTTATTTTTTATGTGATGCTGAGGATCGAACCCAGGGCCTCACACATGCAAGGCGAGCGCTCTACCGCTGAGCCACAACCCCAGCCCACTCTTTTCCTACTCTTAATGGGGCTGGAGTCTTTTGCAAAGCAAAAGTTTTTAATTTTGACAAGGCCAAAATTTTGACTATTTTTTTTTTGTGATTCATACCTTTAGATTATCATCTAAGAAATTCGTGGCAAGTCCTGGTTCCTGAAGATTTTCTTCTTTATGTTCTAAAACTATTACAGTTTTATGTTTTACATGAAATTTATAACTGACTTTGAGATAAATTTTGCATAAGGTGTGAAGTTTAGGTCAAGGGTCGCGTTTTTTTGCCCCTGGCTGCCCAACCGCTCCAGCTGTTCCAGCTGTTTCTTGGGAGAGTCCCCCCTGTCCCCTCGGGCTGCTCTGCACCTCTGTGGCAAAGCCCTTGTCCTTTCTTGTGAGGCTATTTCTGAATGCTTGATTCTGTCCCACTGATCCACATGTCTAGTATCACACTGTCTTATAGAAGAAATCTTGAAATTTGGTGGAGAAATTCCTCTCCTTTTGTTCTTTCTATCCAATTTGTTTTATTCTAAAATTTTGTTGTCTTCCCATAAAAAGTTTAGACTAACTGCACCTGTATCTACAAAATACTTATATACATTTTGTTGGAAATTATATTATATTTGTGTATCAGTTTGGGTAAACTTGATAACTGGACCAGTTTTTCAACCCGTGGATACTCTTCTATTTTTTTAGGTTTTGTTTGACCACTTATCAGTGTTAGGTTGTTTTGTTACAGTTTCGGTATATGTTTTGTTAGACTTATGCCTAAATATCTCCCCTATTTCAAATCATTATAAGTGATATTTTATTTTTACGTTAAGTTTCTACTGGTACTTGTTAATATACAGAAGTATCACACATATTTTGAGACTAGGTCCTGCTGTCAGCCCAGGCAAGCACAGAACTCCTGGGTTCACGGGATCCTCCCGCTTCAGCCTCTGCAGTAGCTGGGTCTAACAAGCCCAATTCTCTGTACCTGTGGCCCGAAGCATTGATTTTCTCGCGTTGACTTGTATCTTATGACCTTGCTGAGCTAATTTGTTGGATGTAGGAGTTTACTTGTAGATTCCTTGGGATTTCCTAGTTGACTGTGATGTCATCAATGAATAAGAACAGTTAGATTCCTTCTTTCTGGTCTGTATGCCTTTTTTTTTCTTGCCTTATTGCGCTGGTTAGCTCTTCCAGTACTTTGTTCAGTAGATGAGTGAGAATAGACATCTTTGCCTTGTTCTGCACTTTATGAGAAAGCATTTGTTAATCTTTATATTTTGGGGTTCATTTTTTTAAGAACGAGAATTATACTGAGCCCTTTCATCCGCCACTGCTCACTATTTACCATATTATTTTTCTATTTTAAGTGAATTTGAAGGAATCTCTTCCCGATATCAAGTTGCCTTGGAAAACGCGCCCCCCTCCCTTCCCTGGGGCCCACCACCCTTTCTCAGCCCATTTGCAGGGACATGGGCTTTGATGCCCTCTAGTGGCTTCCTGGAGCCACGGCGCCTCCCAGCCCCTGCGGAGCCGTGTGTGGTCTGGGGTGGATCTGGGCTCCCAGGGACTGCTGGGTCCTCCTTTGCCCTTTCCTACCCGCCAGCCCAGAGACCCCTGAGGCCCTCAGCTCCTGGGGTTGGCCTGACTCCCGGTGCCCCTGATGGCTGCAGGAGGCGATCTCCAGACTCTTGCCTGGCCAGGGGGTGGCACCGGTGTCTGGGAACAACCTAGGCGTGAAGCGCGCGGAGATCAAGCCCGGGGTGCGGGAGATCCACCTGTGCAAGGACGAGCGCGGCAAGACGGGGCTGCGGCTGCGGGCCATCGACAAGGTAGGCGCCGCGGAGGGACACGACCCCAGGCGGGAAAGCGCGCCAGCCCCAGAGGGCACCAGTGAGAAGGGGGCAGATGGGGCATCCTCACCCAAGGTCCCAGGGCTGGGCTAGGTTGCGGCAGGGACCCTCCACCACCCCTTCTGGGCTCCCGTTGGTCCGTGGCTCCCTGGGGAGCCATGCCTTCCCCCGCCCCCATGCACCCCACCACCCAGGGATCAGCTTCCTGGCAACTGTCCGCAGACCGTGAAAGCTGAGAAAGCCATGCCTCTGGAGGGCCGTGCACTGGAGGGGTCGCCGTGCAGCCTCTGGCCGGGGTTCAAATCCTGACCCAGTTTCCCCCAGCTGTGTGGCCTGCCCTGCTTCCTCCCCAGGAAGATGGGGTGACCGTGTTACCTGCCCTGCAGGGTGGAGGCCCCGTGCCGGTAGGCTCCCGGGCTCAGGGCTGCAGGGGCTGACTCTAGGCCGCCTTCCCCAGGGGCTCTTCGTGCAGCTGGTCCAGGCCAACACCCCCGCCTCCCTCGTGGGGCTGCGCTTCGGGGACCAGATCCTGCAGGTGGATGGGCGGGACTGCGCTGGGTGGAGCGCAGAAAAGGCCCACCGCGCGCTGAAGAAGGCCTCGCCGGAGAAGATCGTCATGGTCATCAGGGACAGGTGAGCAGCCAGCGCCCCAGAGGCCCTCTGCCCAGTTCCAGCCACGTCCCCAGGCCCAGCTCACTCTCCCCCTCTGCCAGACCGTTCCAGCGGACGGTTACCATGCACAAGGACAGCTTGGGCCACGTGGGCTTCTTCATCAAGAAGGGGAAGGTGGTCTCTGTGGTCAAAGGGAGCTCTGCGGCCCGCAACGGGCTCCTCACCGACCACTATGTGTGCGAGGTGAACGGGCAGAATGTCGTCGGACTGAAGGTAGGCGGTGGCCGGCTTTCCGTGGGCTGGGGGAGCCGCTGAGTGGGAGGGCTGGTATCTGGACAGGCTGCAGCCCCTCCCCTCCCCATGCAGCTTCCTCCTCCTAAGGTTCCAGTAAGACCCTGTGCCTAGAGCTCTGCAGGGCGCCAGGCACAGGGCAGTGCTCAGTAAGTACTAGCTACTGTGACTAACCCGGGGTGCTCAGGGCAGAGGGGCGTGGCAATGCATGTGAGGACACGGCACCCCAAGGTGCCCGCTGCATGGACACCTCTCCCTCTACGTGGTGCTCCTGGTTGCATGTTGATCACTTCTGATCTTCGTTCCTTTTTCAAGGGTGGTGGTGAGTTTGAAAATCCAGAAGGTGCCAGGAGGGGTGGGCGCTGTGCATCTGGAATGGGGGTGTCTTGGGGGAATGGACCGAGGATGATGAGTCATATGGTTCTGAACAAGTGAAAGTGGCTTTATCCTGACTTGATGCCACTTGGACTCAGAGTGGCTCTCAAACCCAGTTGTGATATAGAGGGAGCGCCCCCTCCTGTCCATGTCCAGTGCTTTGGTACTTGTGGGGCAGAGCTCCCCCCACAGAAGTGGTGTGAGTAGTGGCATCTGACTCCGCAGCTGACACAAGCCATTCCTGTCACATGTTTGCTTCCTTATGCCTGACAGTCTCCCCCACCTTCCTTGGAGTTTATTCTTAGTGACTGTTGTGGTCAGGAAGTTCTTCCTAATATCTGTCCAGTATCCCACCTACTGCATCATCTCCCTTTTCTCAGACATGACAACTAAAAAGTGCTTAAAAAGTTGAGTATAGTAATATGGATTCTGAGTAGCTGGAGAGCCCTGATATTAGTGAGCTCCTCCTTTGAGAGCATTACAGTTCTTCCATCCTAACTCTTCTGGAAGTCAGTCCTGCTAAGATGGGATTCTGTCATCTGCATGGATGGCTCAAGGCATGGTCGTGAGTTTATCAGTCACTGTCCCAGGCCACGGCTCTGTGAGGCCTTAGGGAGGAGTTTGTCCTTCTACCAAGAGGCTCTAAATGGCTCGTTTCTTCACTGGTCTCTCTGAAGTTCATTTCACTCTGTGGCTGTCACTAGTCCCACCTGGCACATTCGCTCCCATTTATTCTGGAACAACTAAGAACACAGCCAGGGACAGATGTGCAAAGTCACGGTCACCAGGCCCTGAGTCCGGGCCAGAGGCCCCGATGGCCCCGGCTGTTGTTGGGCTGCGGGCACAGGCTGCTCAGCCTCTTCAGGTTTGTCCTCCTCATGGTCGCAGATGTAGGGGACAGCACCCCCTGGCCTGTCTGGCCACACGAGCCAGGTCAGGTGTGCTTACTGTCTCCCACCGCAGGGTTCTTCTTTTTGGGCTTTAGAACCCAAACCCCACTGTGACTGGGGCCAGGGAGATGGGGTGGCAGTGTGGGCCCTCGCAAGGGGAAGGAGGCTCCGTCTGTGAGGCCGTGTTGAGTGCCAGGCCCACGCAGCTGGCCTTCGTGGGCGGGGGAGGGGACTGCACGCTCCTTTGACTTGGAGAGCCTCAGATGGGAGGCCCACGTCCTTGCTCAAGCCAGACTGTGCCTAACCCTTGCCAGGCAGGCTCAGGGGCCCAGGTGGCCTGGCCCCTGCAGTTGGGCATCAGTGGCCTGTGGCAGTATCTCGGCCCCGGCCCTCAGGGAGACCATTCACTCACCTCCTGTCCAGGACAAAGCCATCATGGAGATTCTGGCCTCAGCGGGAAACGTCATCACCCTGACCCTCATTCCCACTGTGATCTACGAGCACATGGTCAAAAAGTAAGGAGCGCCCTCCTCGTCCCCCGCCCCCGGGGCCACCTGGCTCAGCCACCCTGGCTTTTCCAAGGCTGACCCAGGGGGCAGGCCCGGCTTGCCCCTCCTCCTCTCTCTTCCCCTCTCTCTCAGGTGGCTGGTGGCTTCTGGGGATCTGAAAGTTTTAGAACAGGGGTGAATGTCCCCCTGGGGTGCACAGGCTGGGGGGCTGGGCAGGGAGAAGGAGCTTCCAGTGTCCACCACTGTCACCGTTGCCACTGTCTAGGTTGTCCCCGACGCTTCTCCACCACACCATGGACCACTCCATCCCAGATGTCTGAAGCGCAGGAGGGCAGCTCAGCCATCCCACCCTCCTGCAGGAAAGAGAAGTGGCCTCTTGGATGACAGGTTGCAGCTGGCTGCCTCCGGGGGTGGGGTCTTGAGAGGAGCATGTTTCAGGTGGGTGGCACTGGATGGCGTGAGTCTGTCACACAGGCACGGAGGTCTCTGGGAGTCTCCCTCCTAACCAGGCCGCGGCCCCAGCAGTACCCGATGCAGCCCATTCTCTGCACTTATTTACATGCTGGGCACGTGGACAGGCCAGCCAGACGCCTCTTAGAGTCGTAGCTGAGTCCTTGGAAGACTTTGCCTCTGCCAGGGAAACAGCCCCGCAGTTTGAGAGACAGAACCACATTCTTTGTGAGAATCTCGCCTTCGCCTTCCCTTGCTTTTTGCTGCAGACAGATGGTCAGTTACGACCCTTGACTGTCTTTGGAATAAAGATTTGATTGGAAACACAATCCTTTCCTCAAAGGTCATTGGGAATTCCAGAATCCTTGGTCCCGTGACACGCCAGGGCTGGTGTTCTTTGAAACAGTGGTGACACTCAGGCCTTTCTACGCATCCCCTCTGAGAGGGGTGACTTGGCCCTGCCTCCGCCATGTACTGCCAGCTAGTCTGGCGCAGGGATGGCTGGATCTAGGGGGCTGTGTGGTGGACGGAGCGTGGCCTTGGCTTTGAGCTGTGGGTGACCGTGGCTGCTTCTGCATCTGCAAAGTGGGCATGAGAAGCCACGTCAGGGCTGTTGGGGAGGAAGAAATGCAAGGCACTCAGTGTCCAGGGTCTGACACCTGGTGGGGCGGGCGGAGAGGGTGTCCCTGATGTGGACCGGGCAGTAGTGGCCCACCGACAGCCTCTGCTTCCCTCTGTGCTGGGGAAGGACAGCGCGGATCTCCCCCAACCCCCGCCTTAGAAAATGACACTGCACAAAGAAACCAGGCGGAGAGTCTTGCTGTGTGCTCATGCTTTAATCAGAGCTGTCTGGTGCAGGTAGGACTCTGAACAAAGGACAAAGGGGACGAGAGTCAGGACCCTCCCCATCTCCCGCTTCCCACGCCCCCTGAACTGTCCGTCAATGGTCTAATAATATAAGAGTGCACTGTGACCCGATGGCATTGTCCCCAGGTCAGAGAGGGAGTCGTGAGTTCGCGGCAGGTGTTGGTCTAGAACTTTGTAAGTTGCCCCACCCCTCCCCCAAGTGCTGCCAGACGCCCCTGTGCTCGTGGTGCCCGGGAGGGTGCTCTGTGAAAGTCTAAGCTACTCCCTTGGGAGATACTGGTCCTAAACTCTGCTCAGGGTCAGCTCTCCGTGCAGAAGCCCGGGCCCAGCTCCCATTTCCTGCCTGAGCTGTGACCAGAGGGGCATCAGGGCTGCCCTGGTCCTGAACTACGGAGAAGCTGCTTCTGGCCTCTGGGCTCCCAGGGACTAACAGTTCTAGACCATGGTTCCTGAGGATGTCGTTCCTCAGGACTTATCGGCTCCAGCCAGGGCTGGGAGGGGGGTCCTGACAACTTCTACTCCAGAAGCCAAGTGCAGGTGGGAGGGCCACACCCCGACAGGAGGAGGGTCAAGCAGAAGGGAAAGGGGAGCTTTGGAGGATCAGTGCTCTGGGGAGGCCCAGCCCCCGGCCCCAGCCTTGCCCTCCCAGGCCCTTGTCCGGGGCCCCGCTCGTCAGGGCCGGGAGTTGGAGCCAGCAGGCTGCTGCTCAGCCACCTCTGGGAACTATTCGGGCAGCACTGCCCCTTTGCATAGATGCAGGATACTGAGTCACACAGGCCCAGGAGCTGGACCAGGGCACCAGCCGTGCGGGCCCAGGTCTGTCCCAGGGCTGGGCAGTGAGCTGCATTCTCCACTGGCAAGAAGAGAAGCCTGAGAAAGGCTCCAGCAGACCCACAGAGGGGACCCAACACGATGGGCTGGGCCCCCTGACCCACGCAGGTCTGGCCCAGAGCAGGAGTCGAGGCGTCCGCCAGCCCCGTCCCCTCCTCCACGGGCCTCAGGCCCACCCACTGCCCAGCGCTTTCCAAGCGGCTTCTCGAGCAGCGGGGCAGAGTGGCCTAGAGCCCCAGGCACCCTGCCCACGTCCACCGACACACAGACACACTAGGAAGGCCACAGACAGCGAGACGCGGACAGGGGCAGAGGGGCGCAGAGCTCGACTAAGTCCCAGTGGAAAACACGTAGATTCTATGGCGTCAGATGAGTTCGTACATTTATTTTGTCTGCAAAGCTTTGACTATGTTTAGGGAGACGCTACGCAGCTCCATGAGGACACGGCTCGGGAGGCTGGGTCCGTGGCCAGTCCTGGCTCGGCTTTGGATTGTTTTTGTTCCCTGCCTCCTCCATGGCACGAGCCCAGTGTCCTGTGGGGCGGCCCCAGCAGGCCCCAGGCATTCGGGCTTGATTCAGCTGGGGGGGTGAGCTGCGCGAAGGAGGGCTGGCCTGAGGCCCCAAACGAGGTGGGGGTCTTTGGAGGCACAAAGCGCGTGGGGGGGCTCCTGCCCCAATGGCTGGGCTGCTGCCCATTCCCAGGGCATGCAGGTGCCCCCTCGCGGGGAGGGCACGGAGCGGAAGGGCAGAGCCCGAGAGTCAGGCAGTGGGGTGAGGGCAAGCCACCTTGGCAGGGAGTGGCCCCTAGGCCAGAGGACCAAGTGAGACCTAGGGTCCTGCCAACTCCCCATGTGAGACCTGACGTCTGGCAGGTGGGTCCGATGACCGGAGGGATGTGACTTTGTAAACTAGTCATGGCAATTGACATCACCGGCTTTCTGGGGTCTCCCACGGGATTCCAGGCAAGGGTTGGGGACAGTGAGCTTCCCAGGCTGACTGGGCTTGGGCTTGGGCAGGGGGAAGGTGGCTGCAGAGTTCCAACCCCCTCTGCCAGGCCCCTGCCCGGGAAACACGTCCCTGCGGTGGCCTGGACAAACCCCATGGCTTCTGGACCCCGTTTTGAGATCTGCCAGAATCTGCACCCTCCTCCGAGGCAGATAGGTTGAAGACACAAGGACATTCATCCCGGAAAGAAAGCAGCCACCTCTCTGGAGGTCCTGGGATGAGGGAGAACCAGTCCCCAAAGTGAACGTAGTGCAAGGGAGAAGTTGGGCCCGAGGCCCCCAGAGAAACTCGGGCAAGCTCCAGGGGCCGTGGGGGCCTCCGGCTTTTCAAACTGGCCGAGGATTCCTGAGTCCGGCCAGGCCTCGCAGACAGCAGATGAGATGGCCTCATCTCAGAAGGTGGAGGGCTCCCTGGACCGCCCTGCCCCTGACGCCTTTCCTGCTGGTGGATACTTGCGATGGGACCTTGTCTCGGGTGAGGGTCCCCGCCCAGCAGCACCGAGCCCGTGGGGCTTAGCTCTCTCACAGAAGAACGATCGGACACACCCAGAAACACCAAGAGGAAAGTGGATGGTGGGGAGGGCCTGGGAGGACAGACAGACACAGAGCCCACCCTGCTTTCTGCCCCCGGCAGCCCCATGCTTCTGAATCCCAAGGGGCGGGCAGGCCGGGGGCACTGGAGCTCCAGCCCAGGCCTGGGATCCAGACCCTGCCCCGAGTCCGTGGGTCAGCTGTCTGCACTTTGGGCCACGGCTGCCTCCATCTGAAGGGATAATATTGGCCCAGAAACCTGGGCGCAGGGCAAGGGGTGACTTGGGAGAGAGGACATGGAGTGGACAGGCCACTGGACAGGATGGTGCAGGGGGGAAGCCTCCCCAGAGCAGAGACTTCCTAAGCAGGGCCCACCCTGTCTCAAGGGCCAGGTGGACACAGGGGGCCCTCACCAGCTTCTCTCTCTGCAGTTTGCCCACTCAGTGCGCCCCTCACTCCTGGTCTTTGGCCTTTCTTACCTTTCTCTCTCGGGAAGTCTTGGGGTGTCTCCCCCAAGCCCTTCTCCTGGACCCTGGTAATGTTGGGGGGTAAAAATGGTTCCAAACCCAAAACTAAATAAATAAGAAGATACCCATGGGGACAGGCGAGGGGAGGAGGGCATCCCTACAATCAGTGGTCAGGCGGCCGGGTGCTGCGGGGACAGGCCTCCTCAGAGCTGGGAGCCCCCGCTGGCCGAGCTGGGCCCCGGCTGGCTCAGCGAGCGGCAGCTGATTCTGCGGATGGAGTGCAAGGCCACCGTGCAGCAGCCCCGCAGCAGGGAGCTGATGTTGTAGATGGGCTGGCCCTGGCGCCGCTGGGAGCGGCAGAGCCAGGCCACCGTGGGCACGGCCGGCACCACCACGGCCAGCAGATCCACGATGTAGTGGCGGCTCCAGTAGCTCTTGGGCTCCTTCTCGGCCGGGGCGGCCTCCTCCTCCTCCTCCACGGGGCACACCACGCTCACTGACGGGCCGGGGCTGGGGTTGGCTCCAGGCCCGTGCGCGGTGGGCCCGTGGGTAATGGGCTCCGGGACCTCGAGCTCGTCACCCACGGTCACCACCACTGCTGAATCGGGGTCTCTGGGCCCTGGGGGGTGGGGATCTGGCTCCCGGTGCCTGTCCTCGGGAACTGTCCCACAGACCTGGGCCTGGGTCACTTTCTCCAGGATGGCGTCCAGGTCGGGCTGGTACTGCGCGAAGTCCGTCTGGATGGCGCGCTCCTGCAGGCAGCTGACCTGCACGCCGGCCTCCATGCCGCACAGAAGCTTCTCGTAGGTGTTGCTGGCCGGGAAGCGGGGCCCCAGGTTGAAGCTGTGCAGCGAGGCCTCCTCGGGGCCGCAGTCCACCCCGGATGAGAGCAGGCTGCTGGCCTCCAGGGCATCCGTCCGGCTCAACGTGTCATCAGCGGCCACAAAGCCACTGTCAGGTCCATCCTCGGCGGAGGCGCTGGGGGGATCACCAGGCTGGCAGACAGCAGGGTCGCTGAGCTTGGTGTAGGTGGAGCTGCGGGTGAGGGAGCGGGCGGGGGACCCGCCGGCGGACTCCCCGGTGCCGTCCTCCTTGGCCATGCCGTTCTGGGCCACCTCCATGCTGTGCAGCAGCGTCTCCAGCTTCTTGTTCTGGATGTTGATGTCCACAAAGTACTTCTGCAGCCCCTTGTCCTTGTCGATCAGGTTGTTCTTGACCGTGTCGATGACCTGCTTGAGCTGTTTGATCTCCTTGCGGGCCTCCTTCAGGGCCAGCTGGGCCTCCACTCGATGGCACTCCTCCTCGATCCAGTCCTCCTGCATGCGCGACAGCTGCGTCTTCAGGTCATCGATCTCTGTGTCCCTGTGAGCAGATGAGACGCACTTGCTCGCTGCCTGCCTGCCTGGCCTGTCACCACCACCAGGGAGAGGCAAGGACGGGGCAGGGTCACCAAGGACAGAGGGCTCTGTGCTGCAGAGGCTGAGAGCTAGGAATAAAAGGAAGGACCCCCTGCCTGGTTCCCTTCTACCCCACCAGGAGGAGGAGGACAGGTGGAGCAGGAGGCCAGGGCTGAAGGCAGGAGGGGCCTCCTCCTGGGAGAGAGAAGAAATGTCCATATCCCATCCCCCAGGACTGAGCTGCAGAAGATTTTTTGGGGGGAGATACCAGGGATTGAACTCAGGGGCACTCGACCACTGAGCCCCATCCCCAGCCCTATTTTGTATTTTATTTAGAGACAGGGTCTCACGGAGTTGCTTAGTGCTCACTTTTGCTGAGGCTGGCTTTGAACTTGGGATCCTCCTGCCTCAGCCTCCTGAGCTGCTGGGATTATAGGCGGATGCCACCATGCTCGGCTAAAAAACCTAATAAAACTTTAATGTAAAACAACAGAAACTAGACAGAAAAGCTCTGCTCTATAGAAAGGGATGCAGCCTCCTACTAAAGCAGGTGGCGAACATTTTAAGTAAAGGGACGTTTGGCCAGAGGCCCCCAGGGAGAGGACAGTGGCCTGAGAGAAGTGACCACCTTCGATGTCGGCAGGGGGAGCTACATTTCTGCCATCCCCCAAGCGGAGGGTGAGAAGTGGCAGGAGTGACTCTCGCTTTCAGCCATGCTAGAAGTTTCTTCTCTGCATCTACTCTAAGGAGGAGAGCTGAAAAGACGACTGGGGAAAGACAGGGCTGCTCCTGAGAGCAGGGGCAGGCGCAGGCCAGCAGGACCACTGGAGGGTGCAGACAGGACATTACAGAAAGGCCGAGCAGAGGCCGGCTCGAGGCAGTGAGAAGGAAGGACAGCCTTCCACGGACTGGCCCCTGCCCTGGGCAGCCTCGCCCTCCAGGCCACGAGCACCCACTCAGCTGGAGCCCTAAATCCACCGATGCCGCGGCCGTCAGTGTGGGGTTCCTGGGCTCAGCAGAGTGACGGTCCCAGATCAGGAACCACGTGCTTTTCAAAGTCAGAATGGAAATTCCATTTCAGGACTAGGCCCAGGATCTCATTCCACAACATACCAAAGGGACCAGGCCTCGCGGACTGCAGTGGCCACGTGGCCAGCAGTGCGGCCTCCTTTGGAAGGTAGCCGACCATCCAACAGGACACGACCTGGCAGCAGCGAACCTGAGTCACTTAGAGCAGCAATGACAAGCCGGGTGTGGTGGCACAGGCCTGTGATCCCAGCAACAAGGGAGACAGAGACAGGAGGATCCAAAGTTTAAGGCCAGCCTCGAACAATCTCAGCCACTTAGCGAGACCCTGTCTCAAAATTAAAAAAAAAAAAAAAAGAAGGCTGGGGATGTGGCTTAGCCTGGGTTTAATCCTCGGTACCAAAAATAAATAATCAAGTGGAAGTAACAGATGTCACTTCACAGCACGAGGGATACGTGGGATACGAGGGATACGTGGCCTTCATTCCTCCTGCCTCGGGCGTGGCTCACTCCTGGCCTCTCCCCCGACTGCTCACTCCCCCTCCTCCCCCCCCCAAGAAGATGGGCTGGGAAGAAGGCACTGGGCATGCTCAGTTTGGCTGGTTCTTGGAGCCTCCTGGACCCCAGGGGGCAGTGGCTCTCCAGCCCTCCATGGACGACAGGGCATTATGTCTGAACTGGGTTCTGAAGGAGGAGGTCGCCAAAGAAGCCGCACGGGGAAGACGCCTGGAGTGGTGGGGACGCGGTGTACAGAGCACAGAGTGGCCAAGCACGGGGCATCTTTGGGGAGTTGAGATGGGCCCCACAGAGGGCCAGTAGTGTGGCAGCCCAGCAAGGAAGGACCTGCCACAGAGGCCACAGGGCCGAGTGACAGGGCTGCGGCGTGCGCATGCCCAGGCCACGCAGGGCGGGTGGTCTGCTCTCGAGCCGCGGAACTGGCCTAGAAAAGCAGCTGGGAGATGGGCCATCTGCTCCCTGGGAATATTAGTGAGAAAAGGTCAGGCAGAGCCTGGAGATCATTAGGAAGAGGATGAGAAACAAAAATAGAAAGCCCAGCTCAAGGACAGCCAGGCCCCCAGCACACCCCAAACCTGCGCTTGGAAACCACAAGGCACCCCGACCGGATTGGCTGCTTGGCAGAGCAAGAAAAATGTGTCAGGCTGGGGCTGGGGCTCAGCCTGTGCGAGGCACTAGCCTCAATCCTCAGCACCACACAAATAAATAAATAAAGGTACAGTGTCCGACTCGGCAACTAAACATGTTAAAAGAAAGAAAGGTGTGTCCACGCATGCAAAAAGACAGACTTCACAGAGAGACCAGTGGTTGCCAGGGGCGGGTAGCTGGAGAAAAGTGGTGATTGCTAATGGGAACAGGACTTCCCTCTGGGGTGATAAAAATGCTGATGGAGTTAGATGACAGTGACGGTTGCACAATCCTGTGGCCACACTAGAAGGCACCCAGCGGTGTACTTTGGATAGGTGAGTTGCATGGTGACAGTCACATAGGATAAGGTGCTATATAAGAAAAGAAGCCATGTGCGGTGGCACACTCCTGAAATCCCAGAGACTTGGGAGGCTGAGGCAGGAGGATCCCAAGTTCAAAGCCAGCCTCAGACTCACCCTGAGCTGCCAGAGGAGGGTTAAGCCAGGAGAAACCCTGCCTTCCAGCTCCCCAGCAGACAGGGAAGAGAAGTGGCCAACAGGGCCCATGGTCGGGGACAGACTGCCACAGGAGCAAGGCCGACAGGCCAGCTCCTCACTGGGGCAGCCCCCACCTGGACCAGAGCAGCTTCCTGGGGTCATCCAGGGGAGCTGGGGGGCGGGTCCTGCTAAGGGGCCCAGACGAGGCTTGGGGGGAAGGAGGGTGCGGTGGGAGCCGCGAAGCCCTGGCCGCTCCTCCTTCTCAGAGGCCCCCTGGGCTGCACCCCACTGTCCAGCCGCCCGCTCACCGGTCCTGGAGCCGGTCCTGGGTGTCCTTCAGCCGGGCCTTCAGGTGGCGGATGCAGACCTCCTTCTGCTGCAGCGGCGTCAGGTACTGCTCGGGGGTGGGGGGCTTGATGCCATGGTTGTCGCTGCACAGCGTGTACTTCATGGAGCGCCTGCAAGGGACGCCGTCATGGGGTGGGGAGGAGGGGGCACTGGCGCTGTGGGGGACAGGCAGGGGACACCTGCCTAACCATCCTCAGTCCGTGACCCCCAGGGGCCTCCAAACCACGCCTCCTGCGCAGGCCCCAGGAGCAGGGGAGCCTTCTGGATTTGAGGGACTGATGAGTAAACCCAGGACAGGGGTCTCCAGGAGGGGCACCCGGCACCTGGCACCTTGTCAAGCGCCCTCCGGCTGCCATCTGCATGGTCCTCATGGCAGCCCTGGGTACAGGGTGCCTTCACCTTTGAGAGGGGCACTGGCTTCAGAGAGGCCGGCTCTTGCCCCCAGCCCCACAGCCAGCCCCAGGGTGAGCCAGAGCCCCGGACAAGGACCCTGAGGGCAGAGGCTGGGAGGAAGGGCGGGCTCCAGGTGGCACGGAGGTCAAGGGCGGTGTCGGCAGCGCTCCTCTCTGGAGCCTGGAGCCCACACAGCCTGGGCACAGGGAGGGAGACGCTGGAGGGCACTCTGCCCTCACCCACCCTCATGTACCTGTGGATGTCACGGAAGCCACACTTATTGGGAGTGCGGATCTGGGTACGGGACTCCTAGTCCTAGCCCCCTGCATGCCCCCACACCCCCATCACCTTGCTGGTGCCCTCACCAGTGACCACCTGTGCCAGGCCATGGTCCATGGGTGGCCACACTGCCACCCTCTGGGGACACATGCATGGACACCTGTGGCTCTGAGGATGGGCTGTCACTGCAGGGCCCTGAATGGCAGCAGGCTGCGCAGACGGCAGTGACGTGTCTTGGGTGCGGCACACACAGCCCCACCACGCAGAGGAGGAGGAATCTCCAACCAGAGGGCAGCCGTGCCAGGGACCAGGGCCGACCAAGGCTTTCCCCGAGGAAGGGCCCCCCACTGCCCCCTGCTCCACAACAGATTGAGGCCCAGACGGCTCCACCCACGGCTTCCTGGCTGCTGGATCTTCTGTACTTAAAGAAACCTCCTTGCATCTTGCCTTAAAATCCCAGGCATGTCCCCACGTCACCAGAGACTCAGGCCCTGCTGCTGTCCCACCCTGCTCCGTCCAGGATGGGGACTTCCAGACACAGAGAGGGGCAGACGCCTTACAGGCCCTGGTGGGCCCTAAAGTTGGAGGCCATTTTTAAAGTCCTGTGGAATCTCTCCAGTGTTTGTAGCTTGTAAACCACGGAAGAGAACGTGGCACTAGAGTGGGAAGGGGGAGAAACGCCATCTGTGTAGTCACCTCCTGGTCCCTGAGTTCGACTCAAGCCCAATCCCATGTAGGCCTCTTTATAGCTTGGCAAGGGGCAGGGGGTGACATGGGCTGGGGGCTTGTGTTTTCTCCCTTTTATCTAAAAAAAAAAAATGTCTTTCCAAATGAGAAGCAAGCCACATGGACTGTCCTAAGGCCCATGTGGCCCTCTACCTGTCCTCCCCATGTAAGGGACTTGGCCAGAGGGACGCAGTTTGTCCTCCATGCCTGGGGTGTGGTGGGTGGTGGTGGTACTAGTGGAATCAAGATAAAACTAGTAAAAGTAGAAGGTTAGAGGAAAGAGACCGTGTTAATATTTTTCCATTTTCTTTCATGAGTCTTTTTACATTTAACTCTCTATCTTTGTAAAATACATATATGAATACATAAACAGAGCTGGGTGTGGTGGCATGTGCCTGTAATCCTAGTGACTTGAGAGGCTGAGGCAGGAGGATTGCAAGTTTGAGGTCAGCCTCAGCAATTTAGCAAGGCCCTAAGCAATTTAGTGAGACCAGAGACCCTGTTTCAAAATAAAAATTAAAAAAGGGCTGGGGATGTGGCTCAGTGGTTGAGCGCCGCTGGCTTCAATCCCTAGTACCCCTCCCCAGCAAAAAAAATAGAATAAAATAAAAGGAAAGAAAAACATGCTCTGATGCGTGTCTCTCAGCCATGCAGGCCTTTGAAAGCTTGGCTCTAACAGGCACCCTGGCTGACCCAGGGGTAGCTATCCTCGCGATGAGCAGGAGGACGAATCTGCAGAACCACAGCTCCGGCTGGGGCTGAGATGACCCTGAGGGCTACGGTTATGAGATGTGTTAGAAAAATCTGTTACTAACGAGAAAATATTGAAATTGCCCATTATAGACTTTTGCAGACGTAAGCTAACACATCCCCTTATATCCTCAGGGTTCTGAGGTCTGATGCAAGCAGGAAACTGGGGGATCCTGCACAGGTCATCTGTCACATGTGTCTTGGTGGAAAATCCTGAGATCTACTGCTTCCACAGCTCTGGACCTCACTGCACACAAATGACAGCCTCTCTGCTGGAAGGGCCACATGGGTCTTCCCCAGAGAGGCTCTGGCCTTGGGAGCTGCAGGCAGGACATCTCCTGGGCTTTTCTTGCCCAGAACCTTTGACTCCGATCAAAGTCCTAATAAGAGCAATAATTGGCATGTGGGATGAGGGGCAGGCGTACGGCCCTCAGCTCACTGAAGTTCTGCCTGTTAGCTCCACTTCACAGACAAGGAAATGGGGACTCAGAGACAGGAAGAGGCCAAATCCCAACTTCCTGCAGCTCCCGGCGCTCCCCTACCACCCACGGTTAGTTCAGCAGAATGAGGGGCCCTTCCTGCTCTTGCTTCCTGGTGTTGAGGACCTGCAGTCCCCCTCTCCCTGCCTGTCCACCTGACCCCCCTCTCCCTGCCAGAACACCTGACCCTGCTCTTCCAGTCTCACGCACAGTGTCCAACACCACAACTCAGCACCTTTATAACACATCTCACTTTCCAAAACTTGGGCACCTCTGCCACTCTCAAAGTGTTCCCTGAGAAGAGTAAGCTGGCAGGCATGCTGGTGGCGTGCCCACAGGGGTCTTGCCTTCTTCCCAACAGAACCTGGGTTTTGTCTGGGGTGGCACTGTGCTGGGGAAAAGTCCAACTCTGCACTCACTGGCCTGCAGCTAGAGATAGTCACATGGCCCTCTTTTATCCAATGAGGTGTCAGCAGGGTTTTCCCAGGGAAAGTGTCTTCTTAGGGTGGGGGGGAAGACAGCAGAGGGGGTCTTGGGTCTTTTCCATCTTTTTTCTTCCTGGATGGCTGACCTGATGGCTGGTGGTACAAGAGCCATCCTGTGGTGCTGAGGACAAATGCTGCTCCCAAAGAATGGTGGGACAGGAAGGGGGAGGAGCACTTAAGCTTTCGAAAGCCGCCTACCTCATGTTCCGTGTTCTGAAAGCATCACCCCGAGGTTACTTGGGACACTGGATTTGCTTTTGTGCAGGTGAGTATTATCATGTCCGTTTTAAAGACAGGACTGAGGTTCACAGGGGGGCAGTGACCTGCTCAAGGTCGTGCGGCTGTCACATCCTGGAGTCAGGGATGGTCAGAAGCCCTGCTGCGGGCTCCAGGAGGGCCGATTACCTGGGGGTGGGGCTGCTGTCGCTGCCCTTGCAGGAGCCCGAGTTGCTGCTGCTGCTGAGGGAGGAGGTGCCGTAGGCGTCCCGCACGCTCACCGGGGGCGAGGTGCGCCTGGGGGCGGGGAGAAGAGGCAGGTGCTCATTCTGGCTGGTGGGCAGCTGCGGACACTGGGCGAACACAGCCAGGCCGCTGCGGCCCAAAGTACTCCCACTTTGGGGCCATCAGGGAGAGAAGCGGGGGAGGGGGACAAGGGGGAGCACAGAGACAGGGGTGACAAAACAGACAGCGCAAATCAAGATGGAAGCCAGGAGGCTGGTCCTCAGGGGTCCCCGGACAAGGAGCGGGTGGACGGGGCTGTGGACCAAGGGTGGGGCCCCTCTGTGAGTCCTCAAGTCCCAGGGTCCCCCAAGCCCAGGGTAGGAGATCTAAGAGGGACTGGAGGAGGGCCTGGGTGACGACCAACGGAGGCCAGTGGAGCGCAGGGAGGGGATTGTGGTCCTGGTAGGAGCCCCGAGGCTGGAGCCTCCAGGTAGCCTTCATCCCCGTCACTGGAGCCCTGGAGCCCTTCCTGGAGGGCTGAGCATTGGCAAGCCCATTTTAAAGACTGGAAATCCCGGATGTGATCTGCTCAAAGAACACTGCAGGTCCATGGCAGGTGGGGACCGAGGCCTGCCCTCCTCCCACCCCCCTCCCGCCCCCGGAGGCCAAGGTTCTGGGCCAGGGGAAGACTCACCTGCGGGATCCGGCAGAGGCCCGTCTACTCCCTGGCAGGGACATGGCCATGAGGCTGCGGGTCCGGGTGAGGGGCGGGATAGGCGGTGTCCCCGGGGCTGAGGAGAGAGGGCGGGTTGGGGGGGCCGCGGGGAGGGCCGGGCCAGGCCATGTCATCCTCTCACTGGGGCCGCTGCCCGGCATGGCTTCTCCTGTCACCACCCTTTGGCAGGACACCCGAGGACTGGGCGAAGCTCTGGCCACAAGTGCCTCTCCCAGTGAGTTCAAGGGGCTGGTGCACAGGTTCCTGCTACGGGTTGTCACAGCCCCAGGGGTGGCTGTAAACCATCAGTCCAACCCGGTGTCTCCAGACGAGTGAATGTGCCCAGGGAGGGCAAAGGTCGTGCCCAGGGAGGGCAAAGGTTGTGCCCAGGGAGGGCAAAGGTCGTGCCCAGGGTCACCGGGGCAGCAGGAGTAGGGCCCCGTCTGCCACGCAGGGCTGGGTCCCTGACCCCCGATCCCGCCTCCCCCGCTCTTCGTCCCCCTCCTCGGCCGAGGCTGCAGTCTGGAGGACCCCCGGGCAGGACCAGGAGCCCCAGGTGAGGCTGGCCTGGTCTCGACGACCATCAACTTCCCAGGTGGCGCGATGCTCGGGGCTTCCCGTCTACAGGGGAGACAAGACAGACCAACGTACCAACACACGTGTAGAAAGACACACGGACGCGCACAGACACAAGCAGGCCCCGTGTCCTGTCATTCCAAGGTGCACCACACACATCTCCATGAACATGCCCAGCGCCTGCCTGCGACACGGGACACGCCGTGGCCCCCAGCCCCACGCTGCATGCAGGCACCCCCGCAGCCCCCCATGCAACCTCGCATGCTGAGCCTGGCAGAGCCCGGGAGCTTAAGGCATAGGCTGAGCGCAGATGAAGAGGGGGTGGGGACGGAGCAGAACCCCCCTCTGCTTGCTCCTGGCTGTGCTGGTGGGTGGGCCCTACAGGAAGCGTCCTTGGCTGGAGGGACTCTGGCCACTGGCTCCTGCTAGGTGTCCGAGGCTTCTTTCCTGGGCAGGGGCACAGGCTCCAAGGGCAGCCGGTGGGGCTTTAGGGAAGGGGAAGCTCCATGCCAGCGAGGCCGTGGCCAGGTGGGGAGGAGGGCCGTGTGGGCATCAGCTGGACCCCTAGAGTGCCACACAGAGGGACCGGGCTCTCTGCAGCCAAATGCTAATTCCAAGCCAGCTCCAGAGGCAGCCCTCGACTTTCCAAGCAGGGACTGAGGACAGTGGCCTGGGATCCAGGAGACTTGGCTGGGGTCCTCGTGCTGTGGACCTCCTCGTGCAGGGAGAGCAGCGTCCAGCCCGCTCCACGCCAGACCCCGTGCCACACATTACGTACATTACGCCATCGACTCCTCCCAACAACCCTATGGGGAAGTGCTGTGATTAGTCCCCTGTCACCAATGAGGAACCAGCCCCCAGGAGGGAAGGGAGTGTCCGGGTCACCCCCTGGGTACCAGCCCAACATCAGGCACTAAGGACTGGGTCTCAAACCTCAGGGTCCCTGGGCCAGGGACCACCCCTTCCCACAGCAGGGCCTCCCAAGAGTCTGGGCCTCCCAGCCAGTGGAGGGGCTGCCTCCTTGGTGGACAAAGATGGCCTATTCCCCTGGAGGCCTGGACACAGCCAGCATTGTCTGCTTGGAGGTGTCGGGTGCCGGGCTGCAGGAGCCACAGACACCACACCTGTCACCTGAGCTGCTCACCTGGCCGTGTCCCGCCCCCCAGGCAGGGCCTCCAGGAGCCACAGGGCAGCCCCAGCAGGAGCTCCGGGCAGGTGTGGGGCAGGCCAGCAGTGCCCCCAGTGCTGGTGTGGA